ACTAGTATTTTTTTTTTTTTTGGCTCTCTTTCTCTTACAGCTGTTTGCTTTTTTCTCATCCATAAACCATTGTTTTTCCTTTTGGCATTTTAGATGAATCTTACTGATGCTGTTTCCCCGTCATATGCTTTTTACCTCAGTCAGCCAAATGAAAGTCCAAGTTCCTTAACTTCTGAAGCTTCAGGTATAGTTAATTAGTAGTTTATTGATTGTCAAGACTGTCTTTCCTTCTGTTTCGAATCCTCAGATTTTAAAACTTAGTGCCGGAACACATCTTTTGTTGCTTATATTAGTCGGGAATGTTTGTTTCTTGCCCTGGCAGATCATTTAAATTTTTACCCACAATCTGATTTTGTTGTTTTTCAACTTCAAATCAGTAATGGATTTGGGTGCCAATATCTCAGTAGCTGCTAGAGTGGGATATAAATATGTTCTGTTCCAAGAACGTAAAAAAAATCCCAAGGTGGTAAAGCAGTATTTCATAACGTACAAAGACTAGACTCTCCATGGTGGTTCAGCAACTCTCTCTGATCCAGTGATCGCAGGGGTGTGGAAACCATTGCTGTGAGCCCAAAACATGCTTTTATACTCCTGTCCCAGCACGGGAGTAGATTGCATGAGCCCTCTTTCATCAGTCCAGTCTAGACAATCACTTCCCATATTTTGATTGGAATTCAGTGTAGATGCATGTTAGGAACAAATCGGAGGAGTGAAGTACCTTTTATGCAGATGTACTGTACCCTTTCCTCTTACTCATAGCCCACTGAGATGGAGTTCCAACTTATGGCAGCAACACAGGTTCAAGGTGTTTTAATTATCCCACTGTCTCTTCTAGTTCTGGAAGTCATTTTTAGAGTCATGATTCAAATCAAGGAGCAGGCAATTCAGAATGTGGCTAGAGCCATGTGCTCATTAACATACATTTTCTTAGTTCCATTAAATTCAGTAGAATAAAGACATTTTGTGCTAGCTGATGATCTGGCCATGGAGTTTGTATATTTTTCATTGAATTTTAGCATTCATTTTCTGTTGCCCTCTTCTTCAGTTCTTGCTCATTATTCTAAGCCATCATTTACTGATGTGTTATTTGAGCTGGGGCACTATGCACAGATCATTGACACCGTAGCATGCCCACCTTTAGAAGTGTTGTGTCCTGTGGTTTTCATTTGTGTCAGTTTTTTGGTTTACAGCAGCAGGGTTAGGAAGTTGGACACCCTGGCCCAACACTAATATTTATTGCTAGAATTTCTTGATGCAAAACACTAACTGCTGCCGGCAAAGAGTTGAAGTTATTTAAGGCTAGAATCCAGTATCTAACACAGCAGTTAAATTAGCTGTCACACTAACAAGTTGTTAACAGACTTCGTGATTTCTGTTGTGTAGAAATGAACGTTAACTTTTTTTAATGCCTCTTATTTGCTCTTTAGGGCTTACATATTGGAAACTAGATGAGAAGGAGCTATATCGCCCTTTGCCTGAGAATTTCAGGAATGAATTTTCTAATATTTTCTCCACAAAGCTGTCGTCAGATCAGGTTCATTTCTGTATTTTCTTTTAAACTCTTTTTAATAGTTCTTTTTTTTTTTCTGGTTGCTCCTTATGGGATGGAAAATCAGTATGTATAGTTTACCTACTCTAGAAGTGGTCTCGTTTCTTGCGTGATGCTGTAGCTGCAGCTGTTGAAATCAGCAGAGGTTCCAGCTCGTGCTTAGGTATCCTCATCTTCAGAGCACTTGCCTTTTCCCAGTCCTTGTAGGACAGTACCCGAGTCTGACATCAAGGGCATCTTGCAGTATCCCCATTCCCCAGATTTTTGAGACGCATGGATTGAGGAGGGTCTAAGTGAACCAGTTAAAAACAAGTGGTATTGATAAGCCTGACAGGTTGAAGTTGTACTTGATATGGGTTAGCTTGCAATTTTTATACATATCTTTATATTGTATGACTGCTCAAGAGTTTTAGATGGGTCGATTTTATACAGGACCTGGCATAAAATAAGTAAATCAGAGATGAGTCCCAAAAAATAGCATTCTAACTTCAGTTCATAATTCAAGTTGTTTTTTTTAAGTCAGTAGTTCTCGGCCTTGTAAGACTCGGGGCATCCTGCAGCAGATTTGAGGCACCCCTCCATAACTTTTGTGAATTGAGTGGCACGCTGCTTTAAAAAACTAATTTATGTATTACAGCATTTACCTCCTTGCACAGAGGCCAGGAAGTGGGGGGTGGGGGAGCAGCCAAGCAGGGATAACCTGAACCTGCCCTTTTCTGCTCATCTCCTCACATGTCCTGTTGCGCCCTTCATAGGCTCTGACGGCATTTCAAGGTGCCCTGGCCCCTTGTTTGAGAATCACGGTTTTAAATACTGTGGGTCTGCATGACTTGCTCCAGTGATTTCCAATATTGTGTTTATTCCATTAGTTTTATGTACATTTCAGTGCACAAAGGGAAGAGGAGGTGGAGAGAGAGTGATTAATTCCCCATGCAAACATGCTTCAGATGATCCAAACTCATTTTTATTGAGTGGTAGGCTTCCATCTGCATTGAGGAAAAGTGAATTTCCTCAAGCCAAATACCTCTTTAGCTTTTAACTTCCACTTTCAAATCCTGCTCCTTCATTATTCTCTTTTCTCAGTTAACATGTTCTAGACTTGTGGGTTGCATTAAAAATGAGAAGGCGGCAGAAATGCTGTACCTTAGCCAAATACTGTAGGGCTGAATCTTTTAGATATATATTCTTTCTTTTGAAGGAGGAACAATGGAAATAATTTTTAATTAGACTTCACCCTTTCGTCACTCCTTTTGTAGATTTGGATGGAAAGTAATCGTCTTTTAACTGGGTGTAACTTAGAACAATAAAATAAAGTTATCATCTGCTTCCTGGGCAGGCAAGATTTTTTGAGTAGATGTGATCGCTTTTATTAGATCAACTGAGTAGTTGGAAAAAAGTTCTTAGCAAGCTTTCAGGTGCAGTCAGCCTTCTTCAGGCATAGGGAGTCTCTGTTGTTTTGAGACGCCAAGGAATCCGCTTCCTATCTTTTAAGATTTTAAGACAGTTTATAGGAGAGAGGCTGATATTTTACTAAAAGCTTTTCTGAGTGTATTGAAGACTTATGTTTCTCCCTGGGCTTATTGAGTAAACTTTTCCCAATGTTTCTGTTTTACATTCAGTTAATCAGATAAAAATTAACTACCTACCCTGAGTGTTTTTTCAGGGAAAAAAATCTTAGCAGTTTTGTTTCTCTGTTTAAGTTGTCTTCTGGTGAAGAAATGAAGCCATCATCATTGAAGGATATTTATCATAAAAAGCAAAGGGAAAATAAGCAGCTGCCAGAATGGAATCAAATCTCTCCTTCTCAAGCGAGTCACCCGCCAGAGGTAACACTTATTTCCGTAAAGGTTTATTTTGTGGTTTGAATACAAAAACTTGGCAAATTGTCACGTTTCAGTCTGGTGGTACTCTTTTCTTCCACAAACCAACATCTACCCATCACAACACAAAACAGTCTTTGTTATATTACTTATATTCTTATACTATACCTATCTCCATAGTATCTCAGTGCCCCTTTTGTTGTCTAAATCATTGAAGAAGCGTTCAGGTATTGTATACACCTATTTTGGTTTGAATGTCCTATAGATGTGGGCAGACACGTTTGCCTTCATTTACATTTGGCTTTTATTTGAAAGGTTTTGTTCACAACTGCAGGGATTTTTTTCACTTAAAAAGGCAAAACGCTCAGGCCCACAACTTGCAAACACTAGGAAAGAGTACCAGCTCACCAAACTACTGAAGATCTACCCAATTCTGCCTCTGATTTTTTGCTACCAGTTAACTGTTGTGATCCTTCTTGTGGTAGTTCTATAATCAGTGTATATATGTCTGCCTTAATTTCTGTTAAACCTTGTATATGTTATGGCTTGAATGATACTTCAAGCGTAAAACGAAATGTTAAGTCATAGTTTATTGGTATTTAATTTATTTTATAGGTTTTAACTTTGGACCCGACACTGCACATGAGATCAGGTCAGCATAATCCAGGACATTGTTTTTTCAGTACCTCTGAAGAGAAGACTCCTTTTTCCCCGGACTCTATGGCAGATCCCTCTTTCTCCAGTCATTCTGACACAGACTCGTTTTCACATGCAAGTAATATAACTTCACCTCAATTAGAAGTTTCCCCAAAATATCCTTCTAGCACTAAAGCCATACATCTGGATCCCTGGAAGAATCATGGCTTCCAAAATGAAACCAAGACCACCTGTTCTTTTCCCATGGCATATGCTAATGCTGGTAATATTTTAATCAACACCAAGGATGAAGGAAGTTTAACTTTAACTCCATCTTCAATTACCCAGTCACAATTTCCATGTGCTGACAGCAGTTTACCAGAATATAGTGTTTCAGTGGCATCCTTTGAAGATCCTGTGGTGTTGTCAAAGTAAGCGTTTTTGAAGTTTTAGTATTATGTAGATAGTAAACTTTGTCATTTTTGTAAAAGTGAAGTTAAAAAATACAAAAAGTAGCAGAATGGGAAGGAGCTGCATTGGTTCAAAGCTGCTGGCTGTCACATAACAAAGTCTTGTCTTGGGCAATACATATCTATGCACAGCCTGTGTAAGATAATGATCATTATCCCCATTTTACAGATGAGGGAAAACTGAAGCTGAGAGAGCTGAAGGGATTTGCAGAACACCACACTATCTGGTGTGAGAGACAGCATTTATACCTTGATCCATACACATTGTTAAGTGACTTGCATAGGAGATAAAATAACATCTTCTGTCTGTGTCTCTATTGTTACCACTTATAACATGGAGATGAAATTATTACAGATTTCACAAGATAAATGAGAAAATTAATTAATATGTAGAAACCATTTCAAAGAGCTAAAATGTTTAAGGTTTCTTACTTGGTGTCCATTAATAGGAATAGTAAAGAATCACAATGCCTAGGACAGGTACCTGGGACAGCATTACTTGGTTGGAGCTCTCCTGATTTCTACAGAGGCCATCAAATACAATCTATGCTAAGTGTGGAGGTCTACAAAGGAATTGTGCTTTGGAGTTTGCTCCTGTGGTTTTTTTGTTTCCTATTTTTATTTTGAATTCAGATCTTCTGCTGGAATGCATATTTATGGAGAGGAAAGGTGGGGCAGGAGGGTGAAATGTGTTCCACTGTATCTATATTCAGGACCTAGCTGCATAATTTTTGCTCCATTTGAACCAATGGAAGCATAAATCTGAGTGTGACCAAAAATCAGTTTAATGAGAGGAATGTATGTAGTAATAAATATGGTAATGATGACTTAAATGTTAGGGATTCAGTGGTTGATAGTGCGGACTAAATAGAGCTTTGGACACAGAAGGGCAGAAAAACATTAATTTTTGTTTTTAACTTTATAAAACAGGATTAGGCAGAACTTGAGGGAAAAACATGCCCGACATATAGCTGATCTACGAGCTTATTATGACTCAGAGATCCATAGTTTAAAACAGCAGCTAGAGGCGAGTCATAAAACTGCTTCATCTGAAGATTTGAAGAAAATCAATCAAAATCTTGTTGATAGGTAATATTTGTCTTTGTAACTGTGTGTGTGTGTGTGTGTGTGTGTGTGTGTGTGTGTGTGTGTAACGTTTGTTTCCTCTTGTTAAACAATTATTAGTTGTTTCAGAAATGTTACTTGATCCTCTTCAGTTGCCAAGGCTTTATAGACTGATAATGTTGATATTTAATGTTAAACAAAAATTATTGGCTCTTTTAACGTCATGCAGCATGATTGTAAAATTTATGGGACACTGGGAGGAAGACGGGACTGGGAAGGAAAAGAGACTGAGACAAGGAGCTGGGGTGAGAAGGAGACTGAAAGCAATTCAAGGAGGTAGGTAAATATAGAAGATTAGACACAGAAGTGGGGAAGAGGGACTGGAACCATCTGCTGAGGAGACTGATGGTGTGGACAAGGAGAAACTGAAAAAGAGGGGAGTACTGCGCCTGAGCCCAGAGGAGGAGACAGCACTGCTTGGACAAGGCAACAGGGACTCAGGAAAGCTTGAGGGTTGGAGACCAGGACTGATTGGGATAAGGAAGCATAAGTAAAGAGATGATCTGAAGGGGACAGGGCAGATGTGGGGGACTGACTTTAGGAGTGGCAGAAAGGTTTGTGCCTGCTAGCAGTCTGCCTGTCAAAACTAGAAGGGAGCACAAGATTCCAGCTGTCAGCAGATGCCTTAGAAACCCACAGAGAGAGTGTGCACGTCTACACAAGATGCTAAATGTGCAGTAGACTAATTCTACTGCACATTAGCATATCGTGGGAAAAGTTGTGTTATTGCGTTAATGCACAATAGAATTAGTCTACTGAGCATTAGCGTCACTAAAAAGGCAAGCACTGGTGCTACTGTGCACTCACAGTAGCACCGGTTACTGCGTATTCAGTTAGTAGCTGTTATTACAGGAGCCAACCTACCATTGCTACCACTAATTTGTTAGCACAAGTGGAAGAGATCTATATGGGTGACTATGGCTGGTGTCAGTATGATGGGGGTGGCTATTCCATTTCTTTTTTTAAAAAACCTACAATTTTACTTATAACAACAATAGTAAAAGGACTTCATCGAGGTTGCAAAATCAAGTGCTCCGAAGTTGGGAACTGCCACAATGAAGATTGCCGGTGAAAGGCCATTAAGCCCTTTTATGGGAATACATTGGACAGAGGCTTGAGTTAGACAATTGCATGCTGTTTTTTTCTGTAGGTACAAACCTCAGTCTAGACACTGAATGGATTTGTTCTGGGGAGGAGTCAATAAAAGAAGTTATGGTCTGTTGGCCTCCTGTCTCACTTGTTAGAGGTGACTGGCAGATTGCAGGGAGAAAGATGTTGTTCTCATAATTAAGGCAGTTGGAGGCTGCCTTGATGTGTTGGATTTTTGCCCCTGCCTCAGCCATCCAATTTCTAAGGCAATGGGGTCAGCAGGTATACTACAAATTAGCCTTGAACCCTCCCTTAGTGCCACTCCAATTTCCTTCCTCTTTCCAATCTGCAGCTCCTCTTTCTGCTCCCTACTCTGTGCTCCCTGCCTGGTATGTTGCTCTGCTTCCTGCCCTGTGCTGTCCATCCCCTCCTTGATCTCTGTTCTCAGCGGTGCTGGATAAGTCCCTTTCCATAGGCAGTCACTAACTCTGTTTCTCATTTTCTTCGTGAGCAACTTGGGACCTTGAAGCCTGATCTGCCAAAGTACTGGTCACTCACAATTGTGTCTGAAGTCACACATTTCAAAAATAAATGGAAACTTTAGACCTTAATATCTCTGTGCTTCAGTTCCCAGAATCCCCATTCTGCCACCTCCCAGGCAGGTTGAGTAGTTTTTGTGAAGTCCTATATATTATAATGTTGTGTATCATAGAACAGCTTATAAGAAAATGAATAATTCAGTTGTCAGAGCAGTATTTGAAAAGCAGACTGTAAGTAAGGCTTGAAATATTCAAGAGCTGCTTGTTAACTGGGCACAGTCCATTCTGTGCACTGAATGAGGCCAGGGGCCGTTTGGAAATAGAAGAGTTTGTGATCATGTAATTAAAAGCTGTATCGTAATACATTGGGAGCCTTAATTCTGATTTCCTCACTTCTTAGTATTTGACTTTGCAACCTTAATGTTCTTATTGCATTTGTCTTGTTTGTTCATTTAGGGGGGATGTAATAAATTTGTGGCCAGCTACCGAGCAGGCTTATCTTTAATTATCACAACTAATACTTGCAGCCTTATCCTTTAATTTTGTAATTCTGTCAAATATGACAAGATAATAGTTTCAGATGAGTCTGTTCTTTGACTCAGAAACATTTCACTGCTGCAGGAAGTGGTGTTTTGATTCAGTGGGTGGCAATCTTCCTTTTGAGTCAATATTGAAAGAGTGACCCAGCATCTTATTAGAGCACACTGACTTTCTGGTGGTACTGCCTTTGCATGAGAATAAACCTGAGGTAATTGGTGATTATTACAAATTCCATGGCCTTTTTCATATGAGATGTAGTGTCAGTTCTGCAGTCCTGGCTAAACTCCATCTTGGCTAATTACACTTTGCCTACTTCAATTCTCCCAGACATTCAGTTGCACAATAGAGTGTTCTTCACTTTCTGTTCCAAACTATTGTATTGCAGTGGTGTACAATGACAGATGTGTTCATTTACTGAGATAAGTGCTTTCCAGGGTAAAGGAATAGATTCCTGTGAAATAGTTGCATTTAGAACATGCTTTGAAATCTTTTGGGGCAAATGATGTTAAACCCAGAAAACCATTATTTGTTAATTTCAAATTAAAATGTTTTTATTATCTGAATTTGATTATTTTTAAAATAGGTGTGACCAGTTAGATGCAGCTTTGAATGAAGCTAGTGCCTGTATGAGAGCCCTTGAAAATAAGAATAATATGCTGGAAAAGCAAGTGGTAAGTGTCATTGGTGATATAGATTAAAGTTATGTATTAAGTGAATAGATGGCCGAATGCAACTGTTGCTTGTGATTCTAATCTGTCTATTTATATTTTTCTCTCTATTCTCTTGTCACACTCCCTGCTTAGTACATTATGTGTACAAGTGTGACCCTCCTGTCACACTTGCGTTTTACAAGTGTGACCCTCCTGTCTCTGATTCTTAAGCTTTCCGCTTGGGTGTTCTGGATGAGAACCTCCATCTTTGTAACTTTTTACAATTTTATTATTTGTAAATGGTCTCTTCCCCCTCTCCTCCATTCCTTTTTCCCCATTTTAGCAAGGACTAAA